GTTATTTGTATTTTTTTTATCGACATCAACAACAACAGCAACAACAACAACGTCATCATCAACAACAACATCACCACTACAACAACGACGACAACAACAACATTACACAAACTCTTTACTTTACTTAATTAAATCCATCTAAACATCAAATTTTTTTTCTAAAAAACAAAACGCACCCTAGCGTAGTAGTACTCCTCCTTCCGGTAACACTCGCGAAGTCTTTCGGAAATGGCGGACTCGGCCAGGGACATACTTTCCAACGTTCCCCTAATCGTTATCACTCGATCCGGATATAGAGACGCCATCTCTTGAACGCTTTTGTAATATTAATAATTATTATTATAATTATTATTATATTATTATATTATCATACTTTTGCTTTTGAAATGTTTTAAAAGAATAATAAAATAATAATACCACCAACAACAACAACAACAACACCAACAACAATAACAACACCACCAACAACAACAACAGCAGCAACAGCAATAACAACAATAACAACAACAACAACAACAACAACAGCAACAATAACAACAACAACAGCAACAGCAATAGTAACAGACAGCCTACTCATTACAAACATGCTAGGGAGCTCTAGCAACAAGAGCCCCCGATGGGGGTCGCTGTGATGGTGGCCGAAATTCAGGAGAGACTGGAAAGAGATTACAACTACAACGACAATAAAAATAATAATAACAGCAACAAACAGCAATAATAACAACAATAATAATGACAATAATAATAATAATAAAAATGATAACCAAATGATGAAAAAAAAAATAATACCAACTTGGAAATACTGATCCTGGCTTCGGAGTCCTCCCTGACCTTTCTGATTCCCCTCCCGTCCCTCCCAATGATCCTTCCGCAGTAGTGGTCGTCCACCAGAAGTTTCAATGGGACTTCGCTGAATGATTGAATGAGTGGATGGGTGAATGAATGAGCGAATGGATGGATGGATGGATGGATGAACGAATGGATGTGAATGGATTAATGAATGGATAGATGAATGTTCGATATTCGTTATTTCAATCATTTATTCACCGACTCAACCATTTCTTTGTTTATTTATTCATTCATCTATCGATCCATTCATTTATCCACTCATTCACTCACTCATTCATTCATTCATTCTCTCACTCATTAATTCATTCACTCATTCATCCAACCTGGCATTATTATTTATTTGGCTTTTATGTAAGCAGGCCATGATTTCCTGGCAGGCTCTTGTGCAAGAATCTGGCTTTCCAAAAATTGACACAAGCTGTTTTGTGAGTTGTTATTATTATAAGTATTATTTGTGTGGTTACTACTACCACTACTACTACTACTACTACTACTACTACTACTACTACTACTACTACTACTACTACTACTACTACTACTAACGCTACTACAATAAAAACCATTGCTAATAATAATAATAAAAATAATAATATTTATAATAACAATAATAACTTTTGAAATTTGAATGTAAAAAATACTGAGATAACATTAGCACGGTGGTAATTTTTGAATATTTTTGAATAATTTTTAAATCGATGTAACCATTTGCATGCTGGTATTTTGTACGTGCAGATACATTTATGCAAAATCTTTCGTCAGGACTCAATCATCATTCTCATCATAACTTTTATTATTATTATTATTATTTATTATTATTATTATTATTATTCCTGGCATCATTACCATGATAAGTTATGCGCCATAAAGGTGTTCGTGAGAATGTTTAAAAGATTTTATTCCCATTATCACCAACTCATCATCAACTTCATAGTAACATCAATAATAATAATAATAATAATAATAACAACAACAAATAATAACAACAATAATAACAACAACAACAAATAATAACAACAATAATAATAATAATAACAAATAATAATAATAATAACTTTTTCCAATAAGCCGCTGTTCTCCTTGCCGTGCACATCAATTCTGAGAGATGTTTGAAAATAATTCAAGTCGTAAAATTCGAAGTTTTTTAAAATTCGAAAGGGCAGTCCCTCTTCCCTACTGCACACCCCCCTCTCTCCCACACACAGACCTGCACCCATCCACACACACACACGGAGAGAGAAAGAGAGAGAGAGACAGACAGTGAGAGAGGGAGACAAACACGAGCACAAAGTGTATGGGTGTATACAGTGTGTGTGTGCGTTCGAACCCGGTTATTCCAAAGCAGCAAGACCATGCGTCTTAAACTATGACGTCATTATGTTAATTATTATTATTATTATATTTATTATGGTTATAATAATCATTATATCTATATATATGTCTAGATACTGATCGTAAACATCACTATTACAAACTTAACAGTAAAATGTAATTATTCTTATTGTCATTCTTCTTCTTCTTTTTATTATTAAAATTATTATTACTATTATTAATATTATTATTAATTATAGATGTTATTAATTATAATTAATTATAAATGTTATTTACTTGGCATCACAAGCAGTACTTATTCGCTTTATATTCTGGCCTTTTCTGCCTATGACAGCTCCAATATACTCGCTCGGAACTAACATTCTGTATGTTTGTTTGTATGTTTGTTTGTATGTTTGTATGTATGTTTGTTTGTTTGTATGTTTGTATGTTTGTTTGTATGCTTGTTTGTTTGTTTGTCTGTTTGTATGTTTGTTTGTCTGTTTATATGTTTGTTTGTATGTTTGTTTGTATGTTTGTTTGTATGTTTGTCTGTTTGTATGTTTGTTTGTCTGTTTGTATGTTTGTTTGTTTGTTTGTATGTTTGTTTGTATGTTTGGTTGTATGTTTGTTTGTATGTTTGTTTGTTTGTATGTTTGTTTGTATGTTTGTTTGTTTGTTTGTCTGTTTGTCTGTTTGTCTGTTTGTATGTTTGTTTGTCTGTTTGTATGTTTGTTTGTATGTTTGTAATAATAATAATAATTATTATAATAATTATAATAATAATTATTATAACTATAAATACCTTAGCGGGTAATCATGATGTGTAGTGGATGGTACTGATGCAATTGTGGTCCGTGTGTCATAATAATTTACCTGAAGATAATTTTGACTATAATTATTTTGTAGTTATAATTATATATAGAATATAATTATTAATAGATTAATAGATAATTAATATTAATTAATAGATAATAATTATTTTAATATGGGTGATGAGGTCTTTGATCGTTTTGCTAATGAGAGGTTGATTCTTATGGATGCCAATGATGTTAGTGATGATGATGACGAAGACGACGACAATGACGTCAACAAACATAGATAATAATTACTGAAAAATTTAATTTAAATTCACTTTTAGTGTTTTTCCTTTGTATTCTTTGTTGTTCCATTTAGAAATGCAACTATAAAGAAAAAAAAATAAAATAAAATAATGATGTTAATACAACTAACTCTGCTACTACTATTAAGACTGTCGTTACTATACTTACTACAGCTACTACTTCTACAGCTACTGTAACTTTGAACCGCCACAACCACTACCATAACTATTCATTCATTTATTTATTCATTCATTCATTCCAATTCACTACTACTACTACTACTACTACTACTACTACTACTACTACTACTACTACTACTACTTTTACTACTACTACTACTACTAGTACTACTACTAATACTACTACTACTACTACTACTACTGTGGCTACTACTGCTACTACTAACGCTACTACTAATACTACTACTACTAATAATAATAATATAAAAACCAGCAGACAAACTTCTTAGCGTCGTCAGCTGTTTTAAATGCAACCTGCACAGCCATCGTTTCACCGTCTGGAACTGTAATTCACGAATAAATTAACATAAATTAACATAAATAGCATATAAAAATAATAAATAAATTAACATAAATTAACAAATTATGAATAAATCTGTAATAAATTTGCATAAATTAAACACCTCATTATTAGCCAACTCAACAATATGTGAGAAATCAAGAGCACCTATTCTTAACGATAATTCATGGCAGACATTAATTTCCACATGAAAAACCACACCAATAACATGACTAACCAAATCTGATGACGTCAACATCAAAGGCTTCAAACAAATTTCTGAAATCTTCTTCCGCCAGAGTGTCTTCTCCGCCGTATGGCAGGTTCAACATCGTCACCTCGTTCGTTCGTCTGATTACAACCAAAAATACTAAAATCATTGTTAGTATTATATTATTTTATCGTTATAATAATAATTAATATTATTATTATTATTATTCGTTCTCTGTTGATGAATGCTCAAAGGTGTCAACAGCAACAACACGCGCGCGCACACGCACGCACACACACGCACACACAGTGCATGTGATAGGTGGGAATCTGTTTGCGATCGAATCTGGTCCCTGCAAGAATAGAGCCAAGCTACTTAACCACTACACTAACATCCTCTTTGATATAGCGGCAGGTTCGGCCAGTAAGTTGCTACCATAGAAATTTAAACCTGAAAAATGGTGAGTTATTAAATAATTTTATTAATATTTTTTATCTATTGTTTATGATTTAAAAACAACAACAGCATCAACAAACATCATCAACAACAACAACAACATCAACATCTTCAAAAACATCAACAACATCTTCAAAAACAACAACAACATTACCAACAACAACAGCATCATTAACAAAAACAACAGCCGCAACTACAACTACATCATCATCAACAACATCATCAACAACAACATCAACAACAACATCAACAACAACAACAGCAACTACAACAACAAACCATTAAGCCTTTGAAGAGCTTGTTCAAAATTTTCTTGGTCAACGCAATCAACAAAAGCGTAGCTTCTTTTAACAACAACACCAACAACAACAACATTTAATTCATCCATTAATTCTTTCAGCCCATCCTCCGTCACCGAACTATCTAGGTTGCCTATGTATACCCGAAACATTGTTAAAGATGTTGTTGTTGTTGTTGTTGTGGTCAATGTAATGTAATGGTTGTGTTGTTGTTGTTGATGTTGTTGATGTTTTTGATATTTTGTTGATGTTGTATTAAAGCCACATTTTGGCTTAACTCATTTGCCAATTTGTTAAAATATAAAGGATGATCATTTTTTTAATATTGTTGTTGATGTTGTAGTTGTCGATGTTGTTGATGTTGATGTTGTTGATGTTGTTGTTGCTGCTGATGTTGTTGTAGTTGTTTGACATAGTTGCTGACGAGTCCTGTCGCATTTTTTGTTTCAATTGTTTTCAACATTCTGTGAAATAGGTGTCACATTTAGTTCTATGATTGGAAGTTTTTCCTACAGATGATGATAACGACGACGATGATGATAACGATGATGATGATGATGATGATGATGATGATGATGATGATGATAATGATGACGATGATGATGATGATGATGATGATGATGATGATGATGATGATGATGATGATGATGATGAT